CACTGCACTCCAGTCTGGGTGACAGAGAGAGACTTCAACTCAAAAGCAAAACAAAAAAAGAGCGATACCAATTGTCAATTAAAAAATAAGGTGGATTATTGTGAGTTGTTTTCTCTGGCTCTTCATGATTCAAATATACTATTGATGCTGTTCAGTTGTTGACTTTTTGAGGAGCCAATGCTGAGTTTGAAATGACTGAAAAGTTAGGCACTATGAATAGCTTCAAAAAAGTTGAGAAAAAAAATCTAGGTAGTGCAATCTGAAGTGGAATCTGCTAAGACGTATTACAACTGATGGTGGTGAAAATATTTGTAGAGCAGAAAAAAGTCTCAGACAACTTTGCAAAGCTTGTGAAAATATTAAAAATCTTGTGAAATGTTTAAAGCCTACAATTATTCATTATTATTCATCAACATGTATTTGGTGGAAAATAATTGAACTTATCATGCATTATTTAACCAGTCGTGTTAATGATTAAGTTTATATATTCTCTAGTAGATTTAACTATCCTAATTTCTATGAATCTATGAGTTTTACTTGCCTTACCACACTGCAGTTTGATGTTTTAGCAGTGGTAGAGTTTTATTGCAATATTTTGAGTTCAGTGCCAAGATTGATTTTTATTTTGCAAGAAGAGCCACCCTTAGCTACCATTATCGAATACTAAATGGCTTTAGATATTAGCTTTTGTTATAGATTTGATAATATTTCTTAATTAATTCAACCAAAAACTTCAAGGCAAAACAGCAATTATATGCCAACCTTACATTGTGGTGAAGTCATTTCAATGACTACTAACATTGTTCGAGTCCAAAGTAATATCATGCTGTTTTATACACTCCCCATATCAAAGAGATAAATCAATAAATGAGGTCACCATTGTCTAGATGGTAACAGTCTAGTTCTAACTAATAAACTAACTGAGCTCTTGGAATTAATAAATGATAGCCCTGATGAGAAGAGTTCTTGGCACTGACATTGGGTATGTCAATGATATATCAATTGTACACTATGGTATCAATAACACACTTTCTTGTGGACAAAAATGAGGTAAGAGTTTTGGTTGATGAAAAGGGATTACTAAAATGCAATTTTGTAGAATCTGGTCTCCAAATGTATCTAAAATAGCTTTTATCTTTAATAAAACGACATACTACACAGAAAATAGTCTGTTGACAGATGTACTGGCAATAAGCCATTCCCCTGGATTAAAATAATATCAGAAAAATTGGTTGTGTTCAGTCAACTATTTTAGGACTCATGTTGTCCTACGACTCTATTTCACTAAATGTTTTGATCATGACTCTCAAAGTATCAGCGTTTCTAAAAATGGCCAGAGGCATATCTTTTGGGTCATTAGATAAAGGGTTTGAATTAAGATTTATTATTATTAAGAAGTTATTTTGTGAACATTCCTTCTCATACCTTTGGTAAAATAAAACATAACTGAAATTACATGATGAGGAAACTGAGATGGAATATAACTTATTTAACTCGATATGATAGGAAATATGATCCCTGCATTATGATTTCCTTACTCAGTTCTAAGAAAGAAAGTGGAGGACAAATAAGATTGGTAAATAATTCTTACATTAATAGAAAATGGATTTATTGAAATTGAACATGAATCCACCTTTATATTGTAAAGGAACGTTTTATGTAAATTACATGCTAAGAAACACAGTATCACTCTTGGGATCGTTCTTTGGTTGCTTTACTTTTAATTTTGTTTTATTTAATTTATTTATTTTTTCTATAGAGATGGGGCCTTGCTATGTTGCTCAGGCTAGCGTGCAGTGATTATTCACAGGTGCAATCCCATTAGTGCTCAACACGGGAGTTTTGACTTGCTTCATTTCTGATCTGGGCCAGTTCACTCCTTGTTTTACTTTTAAAATTCAGAAACTTTAAAATCTTCCATTTGGTATCCAATCATTTATTCCCTAGCTATTTATATTTATACAATGAAGATAATTTCACTTGCTCAGAAGTTATTATAAGACCAGCACTTACTAATTGTAGCAAGAAAATTTCAAGTGATCAAGTCAGATGTTTATAAAGAATCAAGATAAGGCCAGAAGCCGTGGTTCATGCCTGTAATCCTAGCACCTCAGAAGGCCGAGGTGAGAGGATTGCTTGAGCCCAGGATTTTGAGACCAGCCTAGCAACACAGTGTGAGCAAGCCTCTAAAAACAAAAACAAAAACAAATTAGTTAGGAGTGGTGGAATTCACCTAAAGTCCCAGCTACTCAGGAGGTTGAGACTGAAGGATTGCCTGAGCCCAGGAGGTAAGGCTGAGGTGACCAGAATCATGCCACTGCACTCCAGCCTTGGCAACACAGAGTGAGACCTTGATTCAAAAAACAAACAAAAAGTATCAAGGTGACAAATGGTCTCATTAATTTCTCTCAACTAAGGCAATGCTATTTATTAGAAACAATGAACAAATATAACGACAGTAATGTTGGTTTTTCAGTACTAATTTGGTCTTTTGGTTGAAGCAAATGTTTTCTAAAAGAGATGTCTCACATGTAAATATAGCTGCTGGTAAGAATGGCTGTTTCACTCAAAAGATTCTCAAAAGACTTGAAAGATAGTCTGAGAAAAACATTAACATAGTTAAGAAGAAATAGCAAACTTTGTGGCATGGGAATTCAAATAGAATTATGGCGCTTGATATTTCTGCCTAGATCAGTGAACTCTGGAATTCCAAAATGCAGAAGTTAATCGGATCACTCTACTGTGCTATGAAAACTAATAAAAATAATACTCATTCTTTGACTATTAAGGGAAATTCTGTTCATTTTATTTTTTTAAGTTTATTCTAGTAAAATTGAGCTCCTTGGCCCCATATTAAAACTGAAATACTAGCTAGTGAAATTATAAAGTCTTGTCTTCAAAATAAACAAAAAGAATCTCAGGAAGAAATGAAGATGGCCCCCTTTGAGATCTTTCTCCATCATAGCGTTAGTTTTCCATACCAAAATAGATGCATGTGAATATTCACAACTGTAAGCAACATGCTCTATTCTCTGATAATATAAATCTGATGTTGGAGATATTTATTGAACAAAGAGGTCTTGCAAACGTTACAAAAATTAAAACAGTGCCAGGTGCAGTGGCTCAGCCTGTAATCCCAGCACTTTGGGAGGCCAAGGCAAGAGGATTCCCTGAGCCCGGGGGCTCGAGACCAGACTGGGCAACTTGGTGAGATCTCGTCTGTACAATAAATAAAAAAAGATAAGCTGGGCGCAGTAGCACGTGCCTGTAGTTCCAGTTACTTGGAAGGCTGAGGTGGAAGAATTGCCTAAGCCCGGCAGGTCGAGACTGCAGTGGCTGTGAGCGTGCCATTGCACGCCTGGGAGACAGAGTGACACTCCAACTCAAAACAAACAAACAAACACACAAACAAACAAACAAAAAACAGTTTGCCATGTCCTGTGGAAATCACCTTGAAAAGAAACATGTAATTTCGATGGTTGTTTCCATTGACAATTTGTTGCTTTGGTAATAATACTGCAATCAACAACATCTCAGTATTTCTAAATAGAGTAAATGTTTTTAAGATTTTTCTGTCATTTAGAGGTGAATCGTTAACCCTTTCCTTTTATTCCACAAGGATGAAAAGGAAAGCCTATAACTCTGTAAGAGTTCTTATTTTAACAAAGAGATAGAAAGCTTTATCTCATTTCATAAAAAGTAGGAAATTCTTGTTTCCCGCTTCTTTATCCAGAGTTAAGATATCACTTGTTTATAAAAGTTGATTTTATTAAAATTATTGGAAGAAAATTAACAAATTATTTTTTTACCTTTTCTACACTATCCTACTCCCATACTTCTTTAAGCATGATTCTGACATACATTCTGCAGGCTATTCTGTCACTGATTTTTTTTTTTTTTGAGTTGGAGTCTCACTCTGTCGCCCAGACTGTAGTGCAGTGGCCACTCCTGGCCACCACAGCCTCGACTTGCTGGGCTCCGGGGATCCTTCCTCCTCAGCCCTCCGAGTAGTCGGAATTACAGGCATGCGCTAACCATGCCCGGCTGATTTTTTGATTTATTGTAGTGATGAGGTCTCGCTGCCCAGGCGGGTCTCGAACCCCTAGGCTCAGGCAATCCACTCACCTCAGCCTCCCAAAGACGCAGGATTACAGACTGAGCCACTGAGCCCGGCTTGTCACTGATTTTTAATGTGATGCATATATATTTTGCTTCCACATAATGTGACTGGTCATGATCATACACTTTTGTTTAACTTGATCTAACTGGTACACAATCATTTCCAAAGGCACACATGACTAAATTGTCAGACATTCTTTTAACTAATATCTTATTTTCTGGAGGAAGGAAAAACTAAATTATTTTCTTTTATTGGAACTCTTCAAATGTGTGTGTTTTCATTTTGTTGCTTTTTCTTGTCTGATTAACTCTGAGCTCTTTTATCCAACTCATTCTTGTGTCTTCTTTAGTCTTCTTGTTATCCTATTACTATTCCAAATCTTCTTTATTTTTGGTTAAAAACACCCAGATCTGTAAGACTTCCCTTCATCTTTCACTGAGAGTTGTCTGTTAGCCATGAGACTCACCTGGTCTCCTTAGTGATGTGGGTCATCTCAGCACAGTTCACACACAGGCACAGACACATGTGCGCGTACCACATACTACATCATTTAAAAAGAAAAACAAAGTCGGGCTCAGTGGCTCAGCCTGTAATACTGCGCCTTTGGGAGGCTGAGGTGAGTGAATTGCCTGAGCCCGCGGGTTCGAGACCCGCCTGAGCAGGCGAGACCTCATCTCTACAATAAATAAAAAAATCAGCCGGGCGTGGTAGCGCGCGCCAGTCGTTCCAGTTACTTGGAAGGCTGTGGCGGAAGGATCGTCAGACCTCAGCAGGTTGAGGCTGCAGTGGCCAGGAGTGGCCACTGCACTCCAGTCTGGGCAACAGAGTGAGACTCCAACTCAAAAAAAAAAAAAAAAAGAAAGAAAGAAAAACAATATACATACTCCTTGAATTTGTGCTATATCTGTGGCTAGTATTGTTGTCAAGGCTCCCATGCTGTTTTCCTTCTCATCAAACCAGGCAATATCCTAGAAAAAAAGGGAATTAACATATGGTTGTCAAGAACATTTTTCTTTACAGGTATATGCAATTATAATAATATAGAAAAGATGTATACCCATAAATGCCTGAAATAAAAACAATTTCCAAAAATGTACAAAAAGGAAGGCACACACTGACATACCTACAGATACGTTTAATTTATAGTAAAAATAAGTGAACCTAGTTCTGAATTTCTGTTAGTGAAGAATTCATAGAATTTAGAAAGGCCATGAAAATCTTTGCCTGCCAGATCTGTGTGACACTTCCTCTTGTACCAACACCAGACCAAAGATGTAGCCAGGCCAAGCCTAAGTGCCACCACCCAAATATGAGAATGCTGGTCGCTTCTTGAAAGTCTTTCCATCAAGTAGGTGCCCTATTTTTTTTTTTTTTAATAAGCAGGTGACGTTGAAGTAGACCACTGTGTTTCAGCTTGGGTGGGAAGAGAAAGGGCTTCTGAGGTGGAAGAAGGAAGCATAAGTCTGTGTAAGAAATACATGAAAACAAAAACAAAAAAGTACTCTTCTCTGACTAATAACTGATATAGTAAGACAGAAGACAGTTCCTTGCCTCCTTCCTCACAGGTCCTTAATTCCTGTAAGTGCGTGGATCAAGTGACTTTCACTTCTTATATCCATACACACATATATTTACATATAAACTGAAGAACTGAAGCCCAACAGCTTGGACTCATGATCACGTTACCACATTGTATAATGATCAGTGTTAAAACGTTGTTGTGAACCATCAAGTCATTTGTAATTTTACTCCCCAAGTTATTTGTGGAGAGCAGACTCTATTCAAAAAGGAAGGCAATGCACAGCACAATTGAGAAATATTTTTAAAGCTTCCAACCTACACTGACTCATAAGAGAAAATCTCCGGAACTGCCTAGGCAAGATTTTCCCTGACACTTCATTTCACCCCATATCTTACAAGCATGGGGCAAGCTGTGAGAAGCTAAAAACACAGAGGGCTATAACACCCCTGCGGCCAAGAAGCAAACAACCTGAGGAACTGGAGAGGTTAAAATGCAAGCAGGAAAAGCATAATGGAAGGACCATAAAGAAAGGACTGATTTCCCTCTCAACAGCAAATGGAAACAGCACCTCTTAGCACTTCTCAGCCTGAGGAACTCTGATTTCCTTTTATTAACTACTGAATTTTTTTTCCCCACTCAAACTATTTATGTCTCTTATAGATTAAAACCATGTGGAGACTCTTTCTATAAGATGGTAAAGGAAAAAAAAACTATTGACTTATAGAACCCAGCCCAGTCTCTGAGGCCCATATTACACATTGCTGCCAACTAAGAAAATAAAAACGTAACAGATTAAGAGTGTGCATTGATTATGCAGTTGCTTAACAGAAAACTCCCATGGAGGAATAAGGCATGATATGACCACTTCAAGCTACTGCGTTGCTGAGGTTCCCCCAAGAGTTTAAGGTTCTAGATGCCCTAATAGCATCCTATAGAGATAGCAATTTGCATTGCACAGTAGCCACTTTGAAAGCAGAATCTCAGCCAAGAGCCTATCATACTGTGAATACACATCACCAATGGTAACAGTTACTCTTGAACTGGAAGACATTACCTGCTTTTTACTGTATACTCACCCCTCCAAAATTAAGATATGCTGTATGTTTTCTAATGGTTTCTAGATTTCAACATGACATGGAATGCACAAAGAATTTTTAGATACAAAGTGAATTTTAAAATATAGAAAAATAATTTATTTATTGAATATCACATTCCTGATTCTATAGTAACATAGTAACTGGCTATAACACATGATGCATAGGTATATATGTGACTAGTTGTAGTCACTGTCTGATGTCTAATTAGCAAGTTGTCCAAAATTGCTTCTCAATAGGTCAGCAATTGTGCACTTTAGGGATTTGTTTTCCAGCATAGGCAATCTATGCTAAAACATTTTGCAGAATTTCTGGAACTTAGCTGGAGCTGAGTAAAAATTAGCTTGCTTCCCCTCTTCCTGATAGTAATATAATTATAAGAGGCTATTTGACTTTTTGATAGCACTAGATCCATTTTTTTCCTGCCAATCATTCTACTTAGAAGTAAAAATGCAACACTATGGTAAATGCATGTATTCTCTCTCTTTCTATGATAAGCACATATATTCATTCTTTCTCTCTCTCTTTCTCTGTGTGCCACTGCAGCCTTCAACTCCTGGGCTTGGGTGATCCTTACGCTTCAGCCTCCTGAGCAGCTGTGACTCATTTTTTTATTTTTGTAGATATGAGGTTTTGTTATATTTTCCCAGGCTGGTCTCGAACTCCTAGGCTCTAGAAGTCCTTTCACTTTGGCCTCCCAAAGTGCTGGGATTATGACGTGAGCCAATGTGCCTGACCTATAATCTTTCATTTAATCATCACAAGTCTATGAAGTAGATACTACAATTACCCACATTTTATAAGTGAGAAAACTAAGGTACTGAGAGATTAACTCCCCAAGGTCACACAGCTGGCAAGTGCTCATGCCAGGATTTGAAACTCAGTCACCAGTGGCCAAAGTTTTTAATCAATTATCTTGTTCTGTCTCCCAATTGACTCTAGCATGATAGTTGTTTCATGGCCTGTTTCTCTTGCTTCAGAACTCACTACCTAAAGTCCTTTTGAAAGTTATTTAGGGCTTTTTAAGGGCTCTTAGTGATCACCATCAATGCCATATCATCTTATGATTTGAAAATCTCACAACCCCACCCGAAGCCCTAGCCAATCTAATTTAGAGGGAAATAGGTAAAACAAAATTCATATCTGTTCAAAAACTCTATAGTTCTATAGGTCAATATTTATCATCAAAAATTATAAACTTAGTTTTGAAACACAATGAGCAATGAATTATTTACAACTCTTGAAGTCAGCAACCATTAGAACATTCTTTTCTGGAAGGATCTCAATTAATCACATAAAATGTAGATCTTATATCTACAAAAAGACCACACCTGGTTCTATAAATACCTCTACCTTAAATGAGGTTTCAAAATGGTTATGAAAAACACTGCAAGCCTGAGCATGTTTACTAAGCCTTAAAAAAATCTCATCTTAGGACAAAAACTAGATTATCAGAGTTACATAAAATCTTACATCAGGAGCTTTTCTTATTGTAGACAAAGAAGAATTGTAGATACTTATAAGAGATGGCCAAATATGCTACTATTTTCTTTTCCTCCAATTTAAAAAAGCATATTCACAGATAAGAAATAGAATGCTGAAGAATGAAGAGTGAAAACAAACAAGACGTTGAAAGTATAGGATAACAACACCTGTTATGTAGCACAGGGTTTCTGTGTGTGTCTTTGTAAGTGTATGCATGTTTGTTGAAGCCTAGAGTTTATGGTTTATGGAATGGAGCATGCTTTTAAGCAGAGGCTACTTTATCCAAGAATGTTATTATCCGGGCATCAACATGGCTAATGTTAGGCAGAGGATCAATGTCCACTATGATACATCAAAATATTATATTAACAACAGTTTCACTGGTTATAAGAGGCTATGGCGCATGGCCTTGAGATTCCTCTACTAAGAGCATTCCATGGACAGAGAAAAGGTTCAAAGTAATGCTTGGAACAATTAAAAATTCTTCTGCATGAAGCCACCCAGACATTTGAGAAACACTTTCAAAATGTCCTAGAGATTTAAAACAAATTGTTTTGAACAGGAAAAAACATAAATTCATGAAGAAACCCCATATCGAGCAAAAATTGTCCACAACTGTGAAATATAGTATTAGTTAATTAAAGTCTCACCTTACTTCATAAAAGATTTGAGGTAGGGATATAAAGTGTTCATACATTTAAAAAATAAAGTACAAGTGTCACACGAGAGGTATATGCAGACCTCTAATGGATTTATGATCCCTGGAGTAGATTTTTGTTTTTCTGGATTAAGAATTGACTCCAAATAGGGAGCAAAAATCAGGCAGGATTTTCTGGGCAGAGCCTGTAAGAGAAGCCCCTGGTTCTGAGTGTTGAGTTGCTCTGGGAAATCTCTGTCTTCCCCGCATTTTGTACTTTGTTTTTCCCCAAGAGGACAAAAGCTAAGAAATTTTGCTGCTTGGCAACTCTGGAGTGCTACTTCTAAAAGTCACAGGATATAAAAATTGGTTTTGACGACTCCATTGGAGTGACAGTAACTCTGGTTCTGAAAAGAAATCACCCTGGCAGGAAGCTATTTGCTTCTGCCCAGTGAGCTTTGGTGACACAAAGTGAGGGGAAAGGCCCCAAATAATTACCGGCTTTCAGGGTAACCCAATACACCTCAGCCTCATGAAAGAATCTGAGAGGTGCCCATCGGAGACATTCCTTCCATTTGACCCCGAGACTCACTTCTCAAGATTAGTACTTGATCCACCTATTTTTAGTTATTTCATAGACGTGATTGATCATCAGCACAAGGCAGGCCGACCTGGCAGCTAGACCGATGTTATCTGAGTTCAGGATACTTCTGACGAGGGCAGAGAGATATGTCTACTTTGAGAAGTGTGGAGAGAGGCCTGGCGTGGTGGCTTATGCCTGTAATCCCAGCACTTGGGAGATTGAGGTTGGAGGATCTCTTGAGCCCAGAAATTCGAGATCAGTTTAGGCAACATAGTGAGACCTCCACAAAAAATATTTTAAAATTTGCTGGGTGTGATGGCACACACCTGTGGTCCCAGCTACCTGGGAGGCTGAGGAGGAAGGATTGCCTGAACCCAGTATGTTGAGGATGAAATGAGCTGTAATTGTGCCACCGCACCTCAGCCTAGGTGACAAAGTAAGACTCTAATTCAAAAAACAAAAACAAAAACAAAAAAAATAAAGAATCATGGGTTAAAAAACCAAGAGCGGTGCCCATGAATGAGAACTGAGAACTAGAAAACTAACAAGGTCACTTCTTTTCAAATTTGTCACCAAGATATTGCAGCTCTGATCTCTTTTCAGTTTTAATTGGTTTTTCATTCTGATCCTGGAACACTAACTTATTCGTTAGAAGAAAGATTTGTCAAGATGAATGCAAGAAACAGAGAATAGACCCTAAATCCTTGTTTCCTATAAATTGTGCTTTTGAACATCACATTTGTGGACTTGTTTTAGAAAAGTATACTATAGGAATTCTGATGTCAGATTTGTTCTGCTCTGAACAAAAACCTAATATTCTTTTAAATGATCCAAAGGAAAGATTATGGCAAGAAGCCGACTTGAGTCAGAACTGAATGCTAGGATATTTTTACAACAGATTTTAAATAAAATAAAAAGAAAGATTCAGCTCAACACTGACCTGATGTAGCATGGCTTTAAAGGCCAAGTGTCTTAATCCCATGGTTAACATTTCCCCAGCTTTGCCATAAAACAATCCCTGAAAAACAAACAAATAAAAATCTCCATTTATTCTTACCTCTCTTTTCTATTTCTTTGTAAAATTTAGTTATTATATTTTTAACTCTCACAGGGAAGATAACATCAAAAAGCAATTATGCTCAGGCTTGTTTAATTGGTGAAAAACTTACCTGTATGAAATAACTGACAAAACAAATAACACCCAAAATGACAAATATCATAGAATACATTCTGCATTTTGCTTTAATGTGGTTTTATTATCTCCAAACATCTGAAAAGAAATAGATTTTTCATCAGGTGTTTGGAAAAAAATATAATAGAAACAGAAAAAGAACTAAAATTCTTACTTTAGGATTTAAAAAATAAACTTCATCCTAAGAATAAAACTATATACATATTTCTGGGTGGAGAGTGGGCAACATTATTCTATTGTCTGCATTCATTATACATGATAAAAAATAATTTGCTTTTAGTTCTCTTACTTCAACTATGTAAATATGGGATCAGATCTATCTATCTATTATCTCCCACTCATCTATTTACTATTATCACAGTATATTTTCAAAGAACCATTAGTTTGTTTGAGTTATTATATCTAAAATTTTTTAATAACTCAGGTTAATTCACAATGGGACCCTAGAAATCATTTCAAAAGTTAGTAGTTTTACTTATGTTGACATTTATATTGATAAAGTATAGCAGTGCAAATCAGGGAGACTGGAGTTCCAGGCTAGAATCTCCATTAAGCCTGGTGATCAGATTGAGTCTAGTAAGATCCTTGAAGCCACCAACTGTCCTGGGTTCTTTAGCACAATCCCAAACTCTTTCTATTCCCTCACCCTTAGCTGGCTGGCAATAAAAAATTGCCATTGTTCCCACTAGTTGAACGGAGAGTGGTGGTGTTTGTCTATTTTATGGCTTCAGTGCTTTGGAATGCTGATATAGCAATTGGAGTCAAAGTTAGAGAACAAAGCACTTTCTTTACTGATCGTCCAGCCAGCAAGGCCCAGCCACACAGCACACCCCACAGTAGATACTGACTTATCTCCCAAGAACATTAGTCAACCTTGCTACTATGAACCCCATACTAGGGGTGACCCTCTCAAAGTCCTATTTTTCCCCCTTGTGGATCAGAGTTCAACAAACTCGTTCTCTCAGGTCATGCTTTCTTTAAATTGTTAAAAATATTAGCAAATAATTTTACTTACAGCTACAATTTTTGAAAAGATGATGGAAAATACTGGATGAACAGTTCCATTTAGAACAGAAGCCAATGTCCCCATACCACAAAAGACCATTCGTGTTTGTTTAACTTAAAAAGTTTTGTAAAGAAATTTCAGGAAGTCTTGTCTAAAAATAAAATATGTTAGTTAAAAATGCCAGTTTGTGAGCATAATGGAACCTAGGGAAGTTAGCCAATTATAAACAGAACCATATTGTAAAATATCAAATATAATACCTGGGGTGCCAAAAATGTTTATACATTTTAAGAGATGTTATCTGTGTATTACTTTTAGATTGCCATCATTAGAAGTGTCTGAATGCTGATGGTAACCACTTTTAGCACCTCTTGTAATTGCAGAAGTCAAACATGACTTGTATCTATCTTTTGTTATCAGGATATATTGAGTATTACAATTTGAATACAGTTTTTTCCTTTCTTAATATGTGTATACTTCTTTTGACACCCTCTGTAGCTAACAGGGTAGAAAGTTGAAAATGTCTTAGAAAATTTCACTGCCCATATTACTCATTATAACCCTAAAGCATAAAATAAAGGACCTTATACAAAAGTGACTATTTGTGCAATATCACCTCTTGGAATTTCACTCCGTAGTTACTATTTTAAAAGTACAAGTTAATTCGTGTCTGATAGCTAAGAATCACAGAAGAATTAATCGTCATATTTTTCTTTACTCTTGGTAGACTGGTTGGATATCATACTCTGGGATAGGACAAAATTGAGGTAAAAATTATGCAGAGAAAGTATAAAAGGTAAAGGTTATACTAAGATTTTAAGCTTAAAAGTTTTTCAGTTTTATAATTTATTTTTAAAAAACCATTTTCCTAATACTTCAGTTAAAAGCTTGTTTTGAAGTTTTTATTTGCAAGTTAAATGCTGCAATATCTGAGCATATTACTTTGCCTAGGCTCAGTTTTCTCATCTTTCCAAGGGGCGTGATATCAGTTCCTATTATATAGGATCATTCTTAGTATTAAGTTTTATTCAGTACACTTGCAACTCGTTGTTTGAAAACAATAAACATCCGATAAATGTTAGCAACCATTGCTGTTGCTAATGTTATTACACAGGATGAATTATATTAAACGCAATTTCAGATTTTTTTAAAGCGAACTCACAATGCAAGTTGTCATTCTGGTGTCTGCCAGCCATTCCTAGGATATATGGAGATATACAAGGGGAGACAGTGGTCACAGAGGTCAAAGAATAAATGTACAATAATCTCTCTTATTGTTCTTGTCTGGGACATATAGTGGATTTATTTCAGAAACTTTAAAAATCTTGCTAATAGCTTTGTGGTGACTAATTATCTTGACTAGGAGAGTAGACAGCAAACTGTTTAGTATTTCATATGCATATATGATATTCTCTCTTAAAGTAATGACATTTATGAACCTAATAACCAGAGAATTCTTTAAGAAAGACTATAAAATAGTTTACAGTTCTTGTTCTAACTTCAATCTGGCACAATAATGCAAGCTCTGTTATTTGGACAATAGAATTGTTAAAATTCTAAAGCCTTTAAAGTCTGTTTTCTTTTCTTTTTTTTTTTCTTTTCTTCTTTCTTTTTTTTTTTTAAGTCCGGGTCTCACTGTTGTCCAGGATGGAATGCAGTAGCATGCGCATGGCCACTGCAGCCTCAACCCGCTGGGCTCAGGTGATCCTTCCGCCTCAGCCTTCCAAGAAGCTGGAACACACCACCACATTTAGCTAAAATTTTTTTTACTATTTATTGTAGAGATGAGGTCTTTCCAAGTTGCCCAGACTGGTCTCGAATTCCTGGACTCAGGGAATCCTCTCACCTCTACCTCCAAAGTACCAGGATTACAGGTATGAGCCACAGTGCCCATCTTAGAGTCTATTTTCAAGATGGCCATACCACAATGATACTGAGTTACTTAATAATTTCACTGTATCCATTATCAATCCCGCTGAAGTTTTCTGAAGCCCATCATCATAAAGAGCATTGCTTTTTAGGTAGGTTACTGAACAAAAGAGTACCCAGAAATCAAAAAGTTGCAAATCAACTCTTGGTCAAGCACGGAGCATGGGGCTAAGTGCTTACAAAGCAACGTTATTTGAAATAAAATAAAAGTTTAGCATATACCAGGACACCAGTAAATTACAGAGCCAGAAAATGTAGGAGGGCTATCTTGCCACTATAAAATAATCTATATTACATATATCCTTTAAAGATGTCCCTTTGCCTCTGGGAAAATACACAGTAACAGATTAGAAAATGGTGTCATTTATATAGTGTTATCAAGATAGAAGAGGATAAAATAAAATGAAAACAAAATAAAACATTTCAGTAAAATGAAATATGTAATGCTGCCTAAATATGTTACAGGTTATACATGTGTTATATGTTACAGGTTATACATGTTTTAAGATAATCTGACATAAAAATATGAAATTACAGTCATTTTACAGAGAGATATAAAAGAACTTTAAAATGTTAAAAAATGACCGGGCGTGGTGCTCATGCCTGTAATCCCAGCACTCTGGGATGCCGAGGTGAGAGGGCTGCCTGAGCCCATGGGTTCGAGACCAGCCTGGGCAACTTGGCGAGACCTCATCTCTACAATAAATCAAAAAATTAGCCAGGTGTGGTGATGTATGCCTGTAGTTCCAGTTACTTGGAAAGCTGAGGTGGAAGGATCGCCTGAGCCCAGTAGATTGAGGCTTCAGTGGCCGTGAGCATGCCACTGCACTCAAGTCTGGGTGACAGAGAGAGACTCTGATTAAAAATAATCATAATAAGTCCATAGCAACTTTATGTGTAATACCTCAAAAGCGGGAGCCGTCCAAATTTATATAAACAGGGGAATGCCTAAATAAATTGTCATATAGCCAGGCTCGGTGGTTCAGCCTGTAATCCCGCGCTTTTGGAGGCTGAGGTGAGTGAATTGCCTGAGCCTGAGGGTTCGAAACCCGCCTGGGCAACTTGGCGAGACCTCATCTCTACAATAAATAAAAAAATTAGCCAGGCGTGGTAGTGTGCGCCTGTAGTTCCAGTTCCTTGGAAAGCTGAGGCGGAAGGATCGCCAGAGCCCAGCAGGTCGAGGCTGCTGTGGCCGGGAGCGTGCCACTGCACTCCAGTCTGGGAGACAGAGTGAGACTACAACTCAAAAAAAAAAAAAAGTTATATCACCATATAATGGGATACTACATAGCAATAAAAAGGAATGAAATGCTGATTCCTGCAGCAACATGGAGAAATCTCAAAATGATTTTGTCAAGCAAAAGAAGCTAGAGGAAAAAGAGTGCATAATGTATGATTTAGTTTATATAATATTCTAGAAAGTATGAACTAATCTATAGTAACAGAAAACATAACAGTAATTATGGAAGGTTGAGGGAAGTAAGAGGCGTGGCAACCAAGAGGTGTGAGAGTGAGGAATTATTTTAAAAAGCAGGAGAAAACTTTGAGGATCAAGTTCATTATCTCAACCATGGTGATGTTTTTACAGTGTGTAGCTGTATCCAAATTGTACATTTTCGATATGTGCATTTTGTTATGAAAATTATAACTTAACAAAGTTTGAAAATGCATCAGATGAAATTTAAAATGCTTTAGAAAAGGTCGTTTTTTAACTTTTTATGGACATTAATATGCGAGACTTTGTGTAGTCATAGGCTTTCATTCCTCTTGGGTAAATATCTAGAAATGGAATGGCTGCATCTTATAGTGGGTATATGATCTACTATATCAAGAAATAGATAGTTCTTTTTTCCAAAGTAGTTTTATATTTTATATTCCCACTGGTAAAATGTGATTCCAGTTGTTCCATGCCATCACCAGTCTTGTTGGTTTTACTACTCCCAGATCTGTATAGTGATATCTCATTGTGAATTTCTTTTGCATTTCTCTAATGACTAATGACGTTGGACATCTTTTTGTATGCTTATTTCCAATCTCCCCATCTTTTTTTTTTTTTTTTAACTTGTTAATAATTTCTTTTTTAAAAAAATAAATAATTAATTATTATAAAGATGTGGGGTACAATTCAGGGTTAGTATACAAACATTGATCATGCTGGTACCCTTGTTGATGAGGCATGCCCCTCCCTCCCCTAGCAGCTTCCCCCAACTGCAAGTCCCAGCCCCCTTTCCCCTGAGAGTTTTCTGCCAATCGCCTTCTCACAGCATTATAATTGTTCAAGGTCACCCTATGAGTGAGAACATATGGAACTCAGTTCTTTGTTTCTGTGATAAATCACTGAGTATGATCGACTCCAAATCTCCCCATCTTCTTTGGCAAAATATCTATTCAAATCTTTTGTCCATTTTTTGAATTGAGTTATTTGTATTCTTTTTACTGTGCTTTGGGAGGTCTTTATATTTTCTGGATACAAATCCTTTATCAGACATGTGATTTACAAATATATTCTCTCAGTTTATGAGAATTATTCTCATAATTCTTTTCATTTTCTTAAAAAGTGTTTACAAATAGCAAAGTTCTTGCTTTTGACGATGTCTGATTTATCACTTTTTTTCTTGCATGAATTGTGCCTTTGGTGTTATATCTAGGAAATCTTTGCTTACCTTAAAGTCACAAAGATTTTCTACTGGATTTTCTTACAAAAGTTTTATAATTTTAGGTTTTACAGTAAGGGCTATCATTCATTTTAAGACAATTTTTGTCTGTGATTTGAGGTAATGGATTGACATTGATTTTTTGGGGTCTATAGATAAATAATTGATCCAGGATTATGTTTTGAAAAAAAAAAATTGTGATTGAATTGCTATTGCACTTTTGTTAAAATGCATTTGACCAGCCAGGCTTGGTGGCTCAACCCGTAATCCCGCACTCTGGGAGGCTGAGGTGAGTGGATTGCCTGAGCCCGCGGGTTCGAGACCCACCTGGGCAACTTGGCGAGACCTCATCTCTACAATAAATCAAAAAATCAGCTGGGCGTGGTAGCACTTGCCTGTAATTCCAGCTACTCAGAAGGCTGAGACGGAAGGATTGCCGGAGCCCAGCAGGTCGAGGCTGCAGTGGCCGGGAGCAGCCACTGCACTCCAGTCTGGGCAACAGAGTGAGACTCCAACTCAAAAAAAAAAAAACATTCAATTGACCATGTATGTTTGGGTCTATTTCTAA